CATAATCATTTGAAGATTTAAGTTACTGGGTAACAAACCTTTGGAAATTGCATACCACTTGTAAATGTTTGACAAACTATCCCCTACAAACATTGACGTGTTACAAAGGATCCTGAATCCTGGTAGTCAATCAATAGTGTCTATTCCTCAAAGGAAAACAGTGTTATCACTCATAAATAAAGTGCTTCATTTTTAAAACACACTAATAAAAATGACATGCCGATGAGGCAACCAACATTAGTTTCTCCCTTGGATCCTCTTGCAAGTCTGGAAACCCTTGCTTGGAATTCTTTGGTTTAGCTACCTCTGCTTGCTTGTAAAGTGGTATCAAACTGTTGATTTGAAAGACAACATGTTAAATTGAAGTTGATAAATCAGTTTCGATGATGTGTGTTATGTGGTACATACAAGCTGTGGTAGTCAACCGTATGATAACGATTCGGGAAACTTAGCACCCTTGTGTGGGGAACAGGTGTGGGTGGAGGAAGCATATTTGCCTTCAAGAGGCAGGTTGTTAACTTAAATATTTCAATGACACTAAATTCTCTTTTCACTTTTAACATAAGAAAGCCAGATTTCCAAAGTCCTGGGAAACCTGGTGTCTTATTAAGGAGAAGACTGTTGTCTGGAATAGGTAAAATACTTTTCCAGCATTGATTATAGGCAGGGAGAGCAGCATGCTTCCCCCAGCTTCCCAAAAGTAACAAGCATCCCTTCTAGAGATCAGCACCTGTCTCTGTTACCTCACAATAATCACCCAATCCTACAAACTACGTTGTATCACACCTCTCGTAATCTCTACCCTGGCAATAATGTACCAATCTATGCCTTGGCTGCAGCCTCTTCCTGCAGAAATCCCCACTGTTGGGGAGCTAAGCCAGGCAGGCTTCTACACAGGGATTTTACTGAAAGCAACTGTCCATGCACATTGAGAGGTTAACATTCTGCAGCATTTGGGAAACCCAGACTTCTGACTGGAACACCTACTGTTCCAGATTAAAAATCTTGTCCTTGTGAAAATTGGGCGTTAGTTCTCTGATGTAGAATTGATTTCATTGTTTATGATCCTGAACCAAGCAAAGAACAAATTTTTGTTTTCAGTGAGGACTGTGGCACTGTTCCTGGCTTTCTGCAGGACCATTACCTGGATTCTTCCTGGAGAAATAACAATGGTTTCTTGGTAAGTCCTAAAATGCACCACTGTGGTGTGAATTTTTTAATTTGTGGAATTTAAGAGATATAAAAATGCAATTTGCTGT